GAGAGAGAGAGAGAGAGAGAGAGAGAGAGAGAGAGAGAGAGAGAGAGAGCATAGTTGTTGCAGTTGGTCACCTCAACTTACGTATGACATTGTATCTTTTGTAGGAATGTGATAGCGCACAATTCCAGTTTGCGTTTGGCACATCTCTGATTGTTTCAGGTTTTCCGAACTGATCATGTCTTGATGATCAAAAGAGGGAAAAACAGGAAGACTATGTTTCTCCTCTTGTGTAAGTATTGTACGAGATTTGGTTGGCAGTGTTGCTCAGTATCTGAACGATCTTGACCATCGTAAGTTGGCTTGCCTCTCATGGCTTTGCATGGACTAGTGGACCGGCTGATTGCCAGTAAGGGTGAGCCCAAACTCTCAGAGCTGATGATCTATAGTGGAATCGAGATACTGACAAGGACATGCTTACACATGATGTACATAGAACGAGATGAAATTCGTGAGGGAGATCCCTCGGGAAATGGTCAGACCGAGAGAATCGTAGTGCACCTTGTGTAAAGCTCCCAGAGCCTTCACCGGTGGCCTTTGTTCCACGGCTTTCTAGGGCTGACGGGCCAGTAGCAATAAGAAGAGAGAACGGGACGCTGCTCTTTTCTGGCGAAATTGTTCATGAGATTCGAAATGTCCCTAGGACCACGTCATAAATTTTTTGGGGGAGTGACTCCCCCGTAGGGCGCTGCAGAATTGTGAATATGACCTTCATTGGGTCCTTTCGGTACGTGCCTCCAAAATTGTCAGTAAGTCGTCAGGAGGGCGCCCCAAAATTTTGTCAATAAGGTTTTGTGCTCCACTCATTTATTTTGGGAAAATTCCCTTTATCTATGAACCCCACGTCTCCCTTGACAATTCAACAGCCTTTTGGAAATGTTAGTACCCCACTGTTGCCATCTCAGGCGCACTATCGGATTTCCTGCCCGGGATTGGCCCCCAGTGCACTTGACTCCCCTCAAAAAATATTGTGGATAGAGACGGGCCCTTGGTCTCTGTAGGCTTATGACCTGTTAGCCCTGTGCCCTTGCCAAGTCCTCCAACGCAGAGACCGTCTTTGGAAGCGATGTTTTTGGTCTCAGATGTTGGAGTCCCAGCCTTTTTTCATGAAATTTCTTATGCTAATGCTGTGGAGCACGAGTAAGTCGTTGGGAAGGTGGGGATGAGAGAGAGAGAGAGAGAGAGAGAGAGAGAGAGAGAGAGGGCTAGCTGGCTGGGAGGTGGGGTTTGGTGAGATTCTCCCACCCTCCCTCTTGTCTTCGCTCCTCATGGCTATGTAGCTCTGTGTTTCTTTCCTTGCTAAGCATAATTCTGCAAGAAGAGGGTGACTGTGATGAACCATTTGGTTGGCGTTTCACCCTGTGTATGGGTGCCCCCTGTGTGCTTGTATCCCCCTTTGTGTTGTAAATTGTCAACTCAAACAAACAGTGCCTTTCCCCGCTTGAAACAGATATGCGAACCCCTTCTCCACCCACATGAGTGGATTCAAAATTGATACAGCTGTACATCTGAAGTGGAGGCGATGAACCACATTAAGAGTGTGAAATTGTTACTTACCCAATCCTTCAAACAGTTTCCTTTGGCATTCCCTCCTCCCTCCCTCTTTTCTTTTCATATGCAGAGTTGTGATTGAGATTCCTCCCTTTTCTCTCTTCTTGCACTATAGTAGCAGTAGTGCCGCTTGCACTTATCCGGCCCAAGTACATAGCATATCAGAAAAATAACGTATGCCGTAATCACAAGCCTTGTGTCTGTGTGCGTTGACAAGCCTTATATCTGTGTGCGTTTTGTGCTGGGCGTGCGTATGCCCACCCCGTTCTTGTCAGCTCTCCTGCCCGGCCAAACCTTGTGTATACGAAAAGGATTGTTCACTTTTGTGTTTGGTAAACCTCTGCCCGACTCCGATGGGCTCGAGTGTTTAAATATCCTCGTGCATCTCCCAAAAGGAGGTTTCTGGATTTATGTGTGACATCTTTCACATGGGCCACGATAATCCTCCCTTGATCGTTCTAATGTCGATGAATGTCTCGAAGAAGGATATTTCCACGGCATTGTGTGCTTATTTCTAAATAGATGCTGTTAATGGGCGTACGTATAGTTTCGTTAGACGAAGTGGGTGTTATGAACTATCTTCCCATTTTTTCAAGTAATGAATCTGGGAGTTTTATTAGTCTGCTGCTACGGGACACCTGCGGCCTAGGCCGCGGGAAATTCGGCCGCGGCCAACAAGGCCCCGTTCGCGGCCTGTGTTTTTAATATTTTTTTTATACCCCTAAAAATATGTAACCAAAAAAATAAAAACAAATGGGGTTGTAGGGCTTGCAAAACCCTACAATCCTATATTTTTTATTTTGGAATCCGACCTCGTTTAAGATTTAAAAAAAAATGAAAAACAAAAATCGATTTAAACAAATTGTTAAAAAAAAAAAGTAGGAATTTTGTTTTGTCATTTCTTTTCACGAGGGACATGGTAGGTGAGTTGTCCTGTATTTTTTTAGAAATG